AAAACTGAAAGCAAAACCCAACCGCATAATGTAAACGAGAAAATGCCATGATTAGCAGACATTTTGTGGGAAATTAAAATAAATTTCTCCGTGGTGAATGTAAAAATGTGTTGCCCAAAGCATAAGCACACCGTTTTTGGCCGACACCCATTCGCATTTACCCCTTCACGCAAAAACTTACTCAATCCCTGGGCGCTGATTCAATTTATGCACGTGCAATTTTCATTTTTCAATTCAATTAAATCCAGCGTTATGCCGCTGACAGCGGACGCATGAAATTAAAACTGAAACGCATTAAATAATAAATTATGTTTGCCTCATTCCATATTTAACCAGCAATTTTGAAAGGCCATTAAAAATGACCGACGCACACTGGTTGATCTTGTATGGCAAAGGCGGCCAAAAATACTTCCAGTTGGAATTTGGAGCTCAAAATTTCTGTACTGCTATATATTATCAAGAATATTAAAAAAAAATGGAAAAACCATTCGTTAAAGCCCTAAAAAATTAAAAAAACATCATTTTGAAACATTAATTCAATTGCATACTTTCAGGCTACGGAAATCCCTTATTAATTAAATTAATAAATTATTAATAATATAAAAATAAAATACAAAGGTTGTTTAAATATATAGTAGGCTTTTAATATGTACTAAATAAAATATACTAAATTAAATAAAACAAAGCAAACAAAATAAAAAAATAATATAAAACACAAAATATGCACGAAAACAACAAAACACAAAATTTGCTCGAACACAAAAAAGGGAATAAGTCAGAAGGTTGCAAAAAGTTGCAGTTCAAATTTAAAACATAGTTTAAGAAAACACTCACTAGTATTAATAAAAAAGTTTCATTATTGGGTGAGACTGGGATCACAACTTTTTCTTTATCTAAATTCTATGTACACATAAAAACTCGCCACTCGAAAGGTCATTAATGAAACACTAATTTTAAAACAATAACACAACACATAATGACATACAAATTAATTAGTTTTATAGTACATGCCTTTATTTTCGTAATTCATTTTATTTGATGATGATCGGACTCGATTTAATATTTAAATAAAATTTTTTTGTAAGAGCTAATTTTCAAGCTGCGTTCACTGCAACGATCAAGTGTTTTCTTTGTCTCTCTTCTCTCGCTATTCGTAAAGCGAGGGAAAGAAATAGATCGAAAATAAAAATACTGTTCGTTTTATTGATCTGTTAAGAAATATTTTTAAGACAAAAAGTGACCAATTTCGAACTTTTGTTTTTTTATTTTTGGCCTATGGAATCAACCACTGTGCGACGGCCGCTAGGAAAAGGCAGAGCCTGAAAGTAGGCAATGATTTTCGATGCCGTTCAATTAAATTGCTCATACGCCATGTGGGACGGATGTCGTGGGTTAGTTCGTTTGCATGGCGTTACAATAAATAAAAATGCAGTGCGAAGAGCAACTGAATATTATTCGAGCGTAGAAAACATATTTTTGAATATTCATTAATGCAAAAAATAAAGGGAAGCGTTCATTTTAGCTTTTTGTGAGTGGTTTTTCATAACATTTCAATGAGATGTGATTTTAACTGCTGAAAAGCCAATGTTTAATAACTGACCATTTGGAAGTGTAATTAAAAAACATTTTTAAATGGCAATGGAAACTAGTGGTAATAATAACAATAGTATACTTGCTTTATTTGAATTGTATTTGCAACAAAAACCTGCTGACACATGAAAGTAAATCAAATGGCCCCTAATCGTACTAATTAAAAAAGTTAAGAAATTTTTTACAATCGTTCCCGCGGCGATCGTTAAAAGTTAGCCCATGTTAGCCGGGGCTTATCAAAGACTCCTTCGCCCGCGACTCGAGCCGTTTAATTAATTAAAAGGGTCCGGCAGAGTTCACCTGCGGGAGTGTTCGTTGTCGTAGTCCCTGCCGTTTTCCTCTCGGGTTTCTCAGTGTTTCCAGTTGGTCATTAATTTATTTTTAAGAAGCGCATAATTGCCCGGCAACACAGTGCGAGTAACTGCAACTGCAAACCGGCTAACCGGTCCAGTAAACGCTTATTCATGAGCGCGGGTGCAAGGACATCGCTGCACTCCTTCTCGGCAGGATAAACAAAGAAAAGGGCCACTCGGATTGCAGGATCTGTGGTCCGTTTGTTTGTTCATCGCCTCTTTCATGCAACATAAATCGCTGGCTTAATGCGAGTGAGTGTGGCAAGCGCCCAAAGGAGCAAAGGACCCAAGGAGCCAGATTGCAAGCGGCGTGTCCTTGCCAGCAGCAGCACCTCGCTGCCCTTTTCAGCAAGATGAGTAGTTGAGTCGCCTTTGTCCCTCCGGTGTCGACATGAATCAGAAACTTAATTATTTTCAGCCGCGCGATGGCGAAAACCGTTTGGGCCAAACAAACAGGATAGCATCAGGTCGAAAAGTGCACAGGGAAAAACTTTAAATTAACACCAAGAAGAAAAACTCAATAGGTGGAAAATTAACTTTTAACTTTCTTACAAGAGGTATAACTAACTAACTATAATACACTGAGCATTAATACTATCTACCCTTAAACAAAAATTAAACAAAATTTTGCAATTAAAATATTGAAGGATAAACTTTCAATCTCATTCCTATTTTATTTTAAATTGTGTAGTTTTTGCGCGACTTTTTGTTTTGACTTTTTCCTATGTTTTTTTTTAGCATAGTTTGTGTTGGAGGAATGCGACATAAATCGACGTGCCTGACATTTTGACGCAGCTAGCGACTTTTTTTCATCCCTCAGCTGCAGCTACAGTGGCAACAAAACAGTTCGTTGGAATATTTACACTCAATTTACTGGCCCGGGTGATGAGTCCTTTCTCCGGCCCCAAAAACCCACACACTCAGCCATTCGAGTGTCGTAAAGCCCGGTTTATTTGTGGGGTCGTCGGCACAAAGGATAGGGAACGCATAGCCAAGCGGATTTCGGTGACGCTTTTGGGAGTGGGAATGGGAATGGGGATGGGGATGGGAAGTGGACGTTCACCTGCTGATGACTGTCACACACAGAATCCTCCTTTGAGGGTATATTTTTAAAAACAATTTTCAGCAGGTTTCAGAAACACTCGACTTTAACTCGGGCTATCGTAACAATTGCCGCCGGTGAAGGCAATTGGAAAAGGGGGATCCCCCGTTTCAGCCACATGTTAGACAGACCGGAAACTTGGCTAGCAGCGTCATAAACTGGTTACATTGTCAGGCGCAGAATAAAAAAACAACAAACGCACAGGAGAAATGAAATGAAAGGAGAGGAAATTGCTGGCATATCCTCACGCAACAGGATGCACATAAATCATAGCCACAGCCGTAAAACATATACTATATACACTCTCGTCGTCCGATAAATATTCGAGGAGGGCAATAAAACATACTCTGCATATGGGGATCAGCCGGATGTCTGGCATACTATATATTTACGATGAGCAATTGCCGCCTTAACGGACGTCGTCGATCCAATAGACACCCTGTACGCAATAGTGGTTAAATGCATCCCGCTTAATGGCATTAAATTGTGTTTTATGACTCAATAATAACAGGGATGTTCGAGGACCTACATCGCCGGCTCCTTCATCCAATTGCGGAGTGGGCGGACCGCAGACAGCATTGCCAAGTGGCCGCGAGATGCACGCACTGATTGAATTTGCTCGGGTGTTGCAGCCTCCAAGTGGCTTTCACTGCCATTTGAGGTGCACAGATAAAAATAAAAGATTTCAAGCAGAAAAAGGATGTAAGCAAAACCTCTTTGGAAACTCCTAAGTTTATCTGGACTTAATTTAAATGAAAAGCCTTAACATTTAAATTAAAATTGATATTGGAAATATGTATTATGTAATGATAATATCAGCTTAAGATCTCATTCTAAATAAGAGCTTACAAAATGTATTTAAATTATATTAATATCAGATAATAAAAATTCAATTATCGTAGTTATAATATTTTCAATTTGAACCTGAAACATTTTTGATAGTTAATATTTGTTTCTGTGTGCCATTTGCAATGGGAATGGGCAGGACATAAAAAACAGCCAACAGCACGGCAAATGTCCCTGACTGCTGCTCCCGCTTCTGTTCTGTCCTGCTCCTCGTCCTGTTCCTCGTCCTGTTCCCTCCTCCGCATCCTTCCCCTCCTCGTGAAACTGGGCGCACATGTTGAGGCAAAACATTTGACATTTCTAGTGTTTGCCTTATGTGGAGGAACACCAAAAGCAGGCACTCACACCAAAAGGCGACAGTTTAAATGGCAAAGTAAGAGTGACTAACAAACACAAACCAATATGACTGAGTGCACCGATTTCACCATTCCCTGGCTTATTTTGATTGCCAAGACTCTGGGCCCTGGTATTTAGGTTTCATTTGCACAGAAATGTCAACTGAAAATGCTTTTAAGGTCATGCGTTGAACTTATTTTTAGTTTATGTTTCAAATAGCCTCAGTTATAAAATAGTTCACAGTTCACAACTATTGATATTTAAACAAATCTTTTTTTAACATTAACTTTATTATATATACTTTGAAGTGGGTAATTAAATATGCAGTTTTAAATAACTATATATATTTCTTTAAAATGATTTTTTTTTAATATTTCTTAAAAAAGGTTCCTTTATATTCTGTAAGAGTATAAACCTTTCCACCCAAGTATAGTTTTTTATACACTTTCTTTGTTTCGTTTGGCTTCTTTTTTATGCCACTTATTGTGCACACTTTTGCACTTGTCGCCATCCTTATATAGACGTATATGTACCGCTCTATAGGGCCGGTGACGTGTAGTGTTCGCCACTCTGTCGCACCCACACACACTTGAAATCTGTCAACTGCAACTATTTATTAAATTATACGCTGCCATTGTTAAATGTGAACGACTGGCGGAAAGCGAGTGTCTGAAGACGACGAGGGTGCTTTCCTTCCTTCCGGGGAAATTTTTAAAGAGATTCTCGAACTTATCGCAAATGCTAAATGTGATTTTCCGCTTATCTACTTTCAGATCTCGATTCAGGGTAAAGAGGGGATTCCTTGACGGATTCTTCGGCACAATGAAACACAGATTCGTCATTAAAAGGACACTGCCACCTGGCTCGCATTGCTTTTTGTATGGCGGCATTAGGCAAATTGACAACAGCTTAAATCACTTTGAGGCGGCTTAAAGCCTCGACATCGGCAAAAAGGACCTGCTGTCAACCTCAAGGATTCGTAGTGCCGTTGTCGTTGGCAGTTAAAACTCTCACTCGACGGAACGAGAGTAGCACCAACATCGGGCGGGAAAAAAGAAGGAGAAAAGCGAGGATAGCACTAGACAGAATCCGCTGGCACAATGGACGTGGAACTCGAGGAGGAGGAGGAGCGCATCTGCCTCAGGTGAGTGTTGACAGTTTGGCCAAGAGTCTCGCCCCCCGCAATGTTGGGGCTTTAAGGCTGTCAATGATTTCGATGCCACGCTCTCTTGTTAGAAGCTCAATTGCATTCCCTTTGCCCTAAGATAATTTCATTCAATGAAAATAAAACTGCTCTAAATGGAGTACAAAATAATTTAGAAATAAAAATATAAGTTTAAAATACCCAAACAAATAAACAATAAAGAAATATCCCTTAATAGCAGTTTAAAATATAATTCAAAGTACTATGAATTGAAAAGTTTTCAAAATATAAGCAATTTAAAAACTTCATGAGATAAAAGGTAAAAATACAGTATAGATTCAAATGATATATTATTCCAAATCACTTAATAAAATGCTTATCTCCAACTGTACTGTACTTTTCCGCAGATAATGTTTCTCAGAGTGGCGCCAATTTCACCCCACTTCTGTTTGCAGTAATCAATTAACTGGGCCCTTGACAATGTGCGGCATTGAGAGTGGAATTGTTCCCGTCGAAAGAGCGGGCACAAAAGGCGACAATAGCAACAAAGCCACTGGTATTCAATGTCAATCTCATATTTCAATTATGCTTTATAAATGGCAACAGACGACGCGTCTGACAAAGATGCTGTCTTCACTCAAATCCTGAGCTCAATGGACTCGTTTCGAGGGGACAAAAAACTACAATGACTCCACAGAGCGTGTGAAAAATGCCAGGAAATTTAGAAACATCTACGTCGTGTTTTACTGAATTTAATTTACTGGCCAATTAAGTGCCTGGCAAATAGCGCATACGCCACGTGGCCACTGACAGTTCACAAGAAAAAAACAAGAAGGGACCGCGAATTGCTCGTGACTTAATCGAATTATGCCATTTTAATTACACAACAGCGAAAGTTAATTGACAGAACTTTGCAACCAACGTTTTGAATGTTAGAGAAATATAAAAACCATCACTAAGAATAATTGGAAGCTTAACTATTTAATGTGGCAATAAACGGCAGAACAAAATCTAAAGTCAGGACACTTAGCTTTCTGCGATTAAACTGCTTTAATTGCTGCGACTAAGCTGTCTCTTAGCAGCACTTAAATACAAATGAGTGTCTCGCAAATAAATAAACATAACTCACCGACCATAAATTTAATATTTCCCCCGTATCCTGTCGAACTCTATGATGGTTCAACCTCGGAGCGCAGCAGCTGTAGATGTCGGGACAACTTGAAACGTCTGCTTAATGCTATGCAAATTTCTTTTTCTATGCAAATTTTCTTTTCGTTCGCTGTAAACAAACGGCGGAATCGAAAGGAGGGAAAATTCTGTCGCCGGCGACAGCTCAGAAACTCGGTAAAAGCCAACCGAATCCGCTATAAAATGTGAATTTTAATGACAAACAACAATGGTGCTGGGACAGGTTAAAAAAGGGAAAACCAAGGAAAACAGGAAAATAGGAAAATACATAGCGCGACTTTTAATGGCAGAAAACTTTAGCTGCAGCGACTAAAGCTAATTAGTGTGACATAAACATAAATGGCCGTGTTCTGGAAACTTTTACGAGTCCGCAAGATTTCTGTGGCAAATGTCAAGAGCTCTTCTCGAGTTCTTAGGTTCGGTTCTCCCCCCAGGCGATTTGTCAAATTTAACGGCCCTCGGATACTTGCTAACTTGATTGCTGCCTTAAAAAGTGGCCACTTACACGGCTTATTGCCTTTTTCTTTTGCCGCAGAAGCTGTCCTGATTGCTTTTGATTTTGAATGTGTTTACCCAAATCAGAGGCAGCCGTCAAATAAATCGCTTTGAATCGAGCCACAAAGCGGCAAAAGGACATCAAAGCCGTGGTCCTGGCTAAGCGCATTTTCTGCATAGTAATGCCAAACAAGGACGAGCACAAGAAAACCTAATAATAATGGTATTTTAAAGCGCCGACACCAATCTCCAGCTGTTTTGAGTCCGCAATGCGAGAATTTATTTGCAGACCAATTCTGATTGATCCCAAAAACATGTTCGATGCCTTTTTTCTTGCTTTGGGTTAAAAACACACTGTTAAAAATGTATATAAATAAATGGGAAAATATTTAAATATTAAAATAATTTTAATAAAATACCTAATAAAAAGTTTAATATTTTGAACAGGATAAAAAGCATTAAATTCAGTATTAGTATTTATATTTTCTTAGTATAAGCTTCATTTTTTTTTTGTGTATTGAAAATCATTCATTCACCCTACCTTTTGTCCCTTTTTTATGGGCTGCTTCACTCCTTTTTTTATCTGACCCAAACTGAGCCGCTGAGTAATTTTTCTATTTTCTGCTTTGTTGCTCGCTTTCAATTGCACACCCATGTTGACCAATGTCCGACATTAACCCAAATCCAGCACACTCACATACTGACAAATAAATGTGTGTGTTCACAAAGGTGTCTGTTGTCTGTCCGTCTGTTTGGCTGAAGGGTCTTTTATGGCCCCGGACTCTTAGCCAAATGAAGATTCCGAAGACACCGCCATATCCATAACCGAGCTGGCTTCGATGTTGCGGCGAATTGGCCACCTGCTGCGTTTGTTTTGGCCTCCTTCGCTGCCATCTTGATGGTTCCCATTTCCTGACCTGTGCCGGAAATTAATTACCAATACAATTATGCTCATAGCTTGCTTTAATTGATTTTATGGTGCAAGCTTGGAGACAGTCTTTATTTGGGGTAATGACAATGTTATTGATTCTTTATATTTGTTTTTACGGAATTAGGTTAAATGTCTTGCATCCAAGATCACTTTTAATGGAGATTTAATAAAATGTTGTTGTATTTTGCATTATATAAATAATGTTTTTTAGTAAAGAGATTTTATTTAACCTTTATCTCCTGTTAGAACTTAATTCCTTAAGTTGTTCCGGGTAATTGTAGTGACCCTTCTAATTAGTTAGATATGTTTACCTCCGAAGAAATTTTCTGCAGTCAACCTCTAACTAATTATCTTTAAATATTTGCCGTACTCACACACTTGGCTTTCGCACCATCTGGGCGACAAACTCGGCCCTTCCGGCAGAATAACCTCGCCCCTTTCGAAAGGGCTTAAACGCTTAATAAATAACCTAAGCAGCTTGCCAGACATCGCCGATATAGTTTTCGTCGTTGGTGCTGTGGTGTGGGGATATCGATGGCTCAACCTTGCCAAGTAGTTTCTCTAGTTATTGTTGGTGGCACCGGGGCATGACAATAATGCATGGGAGCCGCCCGTTGCGGCCCTCGGGTTAAGCATAAATATGTCAAGTGTTAATTGCTGCCACTTAACGCAGAGCACAAACTCAAATACAACCGCAAAGACACACTTACACCGAAAAAAACGGATTAGAAATTAACGAATAAGTCTCAGTACAAAATTAGATACCAGTAAGGGAAAAATAAAATACTATTTGTTAAATATCTTTAAAATTTATATCCTCAATAGAATAACTTTTCTTTAAGTTATTTTATAATATTTCAATAAACTGTATATTAAGAGTATATTATGTTTGATTTATTCTGAACATTTATTAATGCTAAGAGGAAACCCAAAATATTTTTTTTTTTGGTGCACACACACATAGCTAAGACGTGTAAATATGACTTTAATCTACTTAGCTTAGCAGCTGCCGCCTAAAACCCCCTTTTCCCCTCCTCCTCCTTTCTGAGTCTCGAACTCGAAAGTCGCAGCAGCAAAAGCAAACATACCCACACTCACACACACACACACAGCCCACTTGTTACACACCCAATAATGTGCTTTAACAAGTTTCTTATGGCCATAAATTCAACAAGCCAACAAAAGCTCATAAAAAGGACTGACTACTGCCCCGTTACCTTTCGTCCTTGGAAGTCTTCAGCCCTTTGGGCCAAAAGTGGGCGGCTCGAATGGCTGATTGTCGACTTGAAACTATCCCCACTGTTTGTCTATATAAATGAGAGCCGGCATGGCAGACATGGCTTTGACATTTCATATCTGAACATTGCCTGTACACAAACACACCTCAAAAGCTTAGCAGGAAATTGGCAAAATATGGGAAACAAATTTTGAAAAAAGAAGAAACAGCCAATAAGCCTGGTTTTTGTCGAAGCTCTGAACTGTAGAATACCGAAATATTAGAAAACTCAAATGCGTTCATGTTGGGGACACTTTAATTAAAACAGCTTCACTTGCCTCAAGCATTTAGCTTGGAATGCCATATGCCAAAAAATTTATAGAATTAAAAATTCCAAAGGGGAGGTTGCTGTTGAGGAATGTTTACTTTGACTAAACATTTTTATAATACATACTAATAAATCAAAAACAATAAACAATTTTCATATGTTTGGGTAATAACATGAAAATTATTGACCAACTTAAAATTGTAGTTTTAACGATTTCAAATTATTACGAGTTAATATTCCTTTATAAAAGCATTGATAAAAGCAGCCTTAAAAAAAATCATTTACCCAGCGCTCCTTGCAAAGATAATGCCATCGATTGCTGATTGTCGTTTAGGGACCCATCATAATTATCATTATCATTCCCGCGGACAAGTCGAGCGGGCCAACTCGAGTCAATTACCATATCAGCAACATTGTTGACCAAATCTGATTTCACTTGGCGTCACCGCGAGAGAAAGAGAAAGAGAGAAATGTGGAGAATATGGAGAGAATCCCAAACTAAATGAACAGTATCGTATTATATATCCCGGCGATGGCGAATTTTTTTCTCGCTCAGTTGTCAAACGCCAGTCCGATGTGAAAGACGCGAAAAAACATTATTTAACCAAAGCGAGCCGCTGGCGGCAGCAAAAATAATAATAATAATAAATAAAACCTGTTGAGCAGTCGCACCTAACATATGTCTACAAATATACACAGTATAGATCAACATTTACATTTCGTTCATGACGACAAGTTAAAAACGGTGAAAAGTGCAAAGTTTCTTGGATGAATCACGGATTAGGTTCCATATTTACATACTTCCCACCGAGAATGAGGCCCCTGGCCCTTTGCCCACGTTCGATTTATCGATTTTATATTTTGAATATTGTTGCGCCATTATCAACACATTTATATACGCGATAATTATATTAGAAGTTTATCTCGACCCATCGCTGGCGATAAACTCCACTCGAATCGCCTGGATTCGCAGTGCGGATTGGTTTTGGTTTTTCTTTGCGGGATTACTCATCGAGCAACTTCGGTTGGAAAAGGTAGTGCAATCTGGCCGACAATGTGCTAATCAGTGAAACGGAACATAATCGGAATCGCTGCGATCGGGCATGTGATATTGTTCAATATTGGACCAAACCTTACAGGTGCGTAAACACTATAAATCGGAGCATCTGCCGATGAGATGCTAAACGCTCCTCGGTTGGTTGGTTTTAGAGGTGCTAAAATCCGCATCTTTACAACTCGGGAATTACACTTGAGCTGCGATCTCGCAATGCGAATTGATGTGAAAATTGATTGTTTTTTACGCATGGCGGAAAATTCCATCTAGTGCGGGAGTCATTCGATATTTATTGACGTTTTCTCACCTGCAGGGCAATTTGAACGTACGTTTGCACAGAATAAATCGGAGTTTGAATTCGGTTAATAAAGCATTTACTTCCCATAAATGATAACGATTATTCCACGGCGAAAGAGCACAAAAAAGAGAGCAGATTAGGAGAAAGGGGAAAATGGGAGAAACTGCACATTGATTAGCCGAGTAAATATGGTAAATACAATCCACGCAGTCTGGCGCAAGCAATCCAAAAATACCCTTGGTTTTCTGACCAGATAACACTCGATTTGATAATGACTGCCATGCAACAAATGAATGGATCGTATTAAGATAAATACATTATGGGAAATAATGGTGAATCGATACGATCTCAAATTCATTGGAACCTGCCAAAAAAAAATTAAAAGTCTTCCCCAGAAATTGCTGCCATCCTGTACCATTTCATTTAAGAGGCATAAAAAGGAATATTTGTTTTCTTAGCCAATGACACCTAATCGATATGCCATGTGTACGCATATCCATATATCCGTAGACATCCCAACGTGGCTTAGTTGACCCCTCGACTTATTGGTATTTCCTTTTTTTTGTCATGTTCCCTTGCCTAGATTTAAATTCACTTTCCCTGAAAAGTGTGCTACGTTTGCGAAGTAATGCGAATGCGTGTGTGTGTGTGCTGGTGTGTGTGAGCGCGTGCCTGCACGTGTGTTTGTGCACTCGTGTGTGTGAGTGTCTCAATGCTAATTTGAATAATGACAACGACATCAACGCGCCATTTTCCACTGTCGTCGTGCTGCCTTGTGCCATTTTGCGTTTCCGCTGCGGCAGTGGGAATTTAACATCAAATAAGCTGCTATAAGGCACACATATATACACATCCGGTCTGTTATCAGCCGAAACAAAAACAACAACTTAATAAACACCAAATTATTCAGAGGCTCTCAGACTTTGAAAGCTCTTATTGACAGATTCTCGTAAAATAAATTACAGAATTCAAAGAATTATTCAAATGCCACAAATCGCGTTATTTCATTTAAACAATTTCCAGTTTCGAACTCTAATGGAACGGCAATAAATAATATTCAAATAAACAAGATTTAAACTTGAAATGGAAAAACGTAAATTACAATTACGTTGGAAGGTTCTATGCTGTCATAATTTCTGTAAAAGCAGAGAGTGGGCAAATTAAAAAATATATACCAATGCAGATGTAATTAAAAATACCAATTTGTTGTTTTCTATTCGCTTTTAATATAGAAACAAAAAGCCCGAATTTATTTAACGATTCCAAGAAGGCACGACAGTATTGCAGAATCATTTCAATGCTATTGTTAAACCAAATTATGTAATTATAGGCACAAAAATATGGAGAACGTTGAAAAGGACCCACATTAATTTCGCTCACAAAAATTGTCATATTCAGGCTTTTAAACAAAGAAGGAAATATTCAATAGCCTTTGTTCTACAATTTCTCTACTTTTAAATTTGTCTAGGTTAAGGTTTTTCTAGGAATTCCGCTCACTTCTTTTAATTTAATTTACACTCCTCAGCATTTTAAATTTCAATTTGCGCCACCTAATGTTTACATTCATTAGACGGCGTTCGAACTTCAAAGTGAAGATTGAAATTCAAGCGCACTGATTAAAAAATTTAATCACACTGAAACCAAAATTAAGAATTTGAAGGAATAAAAAATAAAATGGAAATTTAAACAATATTATAAACATTATAAATAAGATTTTAAGTGAAATAAATAAATCATAGCTTATTTTCAAGTAAATTTTTTCTACTCTTAAGATTAAGGGTTTTGAGGATTCATTAATACACAATGTACTCTTCTAATTTTGAGGTGTAACTTATCACAGATTTCTCAGACTTGCCAGAATTCCTTTTAATAAAATGCGGTTTTGAATTTTAGTGCTTAAATAATTTTTCAAATATTTTGTTCTCTGTACAGAACAGCGGAGGAGGAGCAGTTGGCCAACATGGACGAGGACAAGCTGGTTTCGGACGAGGTGCACATGCGGCAGTTGAGTGCGACGCCCTCATCCGCTTTCTCGCTGCAGCAGCGCCGGCAGAGCAACAGTGTGACCCACTCCGCACCGCCCGAACTCACGCAGCGCGTGGGGGCGGGCGACACGAAAGAGGAGGCGCCACCGGTGGGTGGTTCCGGGGGAGTTCCCGCTGCCGCGGACAGGGACACGGATCCCGACGAGAGAGTGGTGCTTCGACGGGCGGCGGACAAGGGCGCCATCGCCTTGGCGCAAATCGACGACCTGAAACTGGAGGGAGATGATGATGAGGAGGGGGATGAGGATGAGGAGAATCAGGAGGACGAGGGTGATGGCCTGGGCTTGAGTAATCCCGCTGCGCAGACCACCGATGATGAGCAGATTACGGTCAAAGGAACTGGAACTGGAGCAACAGTGGCCACTTCCGCGGCAGCCAATGCCCCATCGAATGCGCCATCCAGCGAGGTAAGTTGAGCAGTGTGTGTGGTGTGCCCACGCACTTAGGACTAATTAAAGCCAAGCTAAAACCGAAACAGCAGGACGCAGCCACGCCGGATATGTCCAAAATACCACGACTGCCCGGCGACGGGGCCCAAATGGAGGACACCGGCGACCTGCCGCCATCGCTGCGTGCCTCCACCACATCAATTTTGTCCAATTTGCGCAAGAAACAGCAGGCCGGCCCTCTGCGCGGGGGCGTGGCCAAGCAGACGCCGCTGCGGGTGCAGTCCGTCCGGATTGCGGAGGTCAAGCGGGCCTACGGGCCCAAGCGGCGAACGGAGAGCTGCAGCATCTTTGGCAACAGCAATTTCGGTAAGCGGGGGACTCCCCAAAATCCCGGAAATTGGGGGTTGCAAAGAGGTTGGGTTTCCCTCAAGCCCTTTTATGGTTTTTCTGGGGGAAAGGGGGCTAAAACCGCGCTAAGTCTGTCGGCCTATTGGACTTATTCACTCAACTAGGGCTATTGCAATAAGCCTCATAGCTCAGCTTCTGGTTAAGAGGTTAATACCCAACCTTTTTAATAAGACAAGTGGCTTTTGAAATTTAATAAAGGGTAATTACAATCAATCAATTTTAATGAAGATAGAATGTTTTAGTAAAGTGAACAGTATAGAAGGGTGTCCCTTAGGTATTTATTGGTGATAAAAAATTAAAACAATTTAATAACAACGCCTTCTTTGAATATCTTTTATAGAAAACGATTTGGAATGTGGAAATTCCCTCGCCAGCATTGCTGGTCAATCGCAGCGGCCCTTAAACAACGAGATGTATTCCGCCTTCAAGAGTGGCAATGTGGTTAAGGGAATCTTGTGTCCCTCGTTAACCAACTCCTTCAAGCAGAGTTCCCTGGAACGATCCTATCTGACTTACACGCATCGCCAACGCCAGAAGTCCTTGATTATTGTAAATGTGGTTGATTTTGTGCTGAAGATTGTTTTGGCCTTTGTCTGGATAATGCGAAGAAGTAAACTGGGAGCTATTGAAAACGAAGATGGAACGGTGAGCTAATTTTAATACTTATCAATTCACTATTAAATAACTAAGTGTGATATAAGATATCCCTTGAGTTAATAAAATTCCTAAGCAGATATTAAGCTAAAATAGTTTAAAAGGAAATTACATTTTATTTTGGAACAAGATTATATGAAATATTTTTTATTTTGGTAAATGTAACTTAGTAAACATTAATTAAATCCAAGAAATACTAATTATACCTTCCCGATTTCCTTGCAGAGCATGGCAACAGCCATCACTTGGTCGGTTTGCTGTGGGATCGCCAACATGGCCATCTGCTTCCTGGGCTACTGGCGCTGCTTCGCCAACAACTATTTGCACTGGGCAGCGGTCTGCACGTGGGTGCTCTTCAACATCCAGGGTGAGTGGGTCGTAAATCATGCGTCACCTGCGGGGACCGTCAAAATGGCAAATCCTTTCCCGGTTCCCCGCGGGATGAGTCGTAAATGCTCAGCATCTAGCTCAGATTTTGTTCTGTTTCTGTTTTTGGGCGACACACAGGATTCGTTGGGCAGGGCGTGGGATTTGCGGATCGCGAGTACCTGGTGTGGTACATCCTGTTCGTAATCTTCGTGCCCTATGCAATGCTGCCCCTGCCCCTAAAATGGTGCGTTGTGGGCGGGACCATCACGGCCAGCTGTCACCTGGCCGTAATTACCATCATCAAACTGCAGCACGGCGAGGTAATTGGCCTGTCAGCCAAATCGTTTTGTGACTTTTGCCTAAATGCCCGTGGGATTTGTATCCGCAGGCCACCACCAACGCAGAGTGCGTCCTGTTCCAGATCTTCGCCAACTTCATTCTCTACACGGCCATCAACGTGGCTGGTATGTACACGAAGTATCTCACGGATCGCGGTCAACGGTTAGCCTTCATCGAAACGCATAAAGCCATGGAGCATAAAAAGGAGTCAGAAAAGGAGTTGCAACGCACCCAAAAGCTACTCGATTCAAGTGAGTTTCAAATTTTTTGGAAAGATATTTGTACACCAAAAGTGGTTTTACATATTGTATTTTCTGGAAACAAAGATAGTAGACTCTCTATTTTTTTAAAAATATATCTATACATAAAAGATAGTGTTGATGAAACTACAATCTTTCAGTTCTAACCTTTTATATACCACAATATTTTATATTTTATTTAATTATACTTCTAACCATTTTCTGAAAATACCTAAAATAATATAAACAAATTGAGCTACAGTTAAATTAAATTAATACTCCTTCAAAGACTTCCCAAAAAATGTGTTTCCCGCATTTGCTTAAATGTTTGTGCAACATCTATTTATGCTTTCATGAAAAATTTATAAGCGGAATTCCTTTCAATGCCTTATTGCTGTTTACTTAAGAGTAAACTACAATGCGCAATTCACGTTTAATAAGTTGTTAGCCCTGTTAAAGGACTTCTAAGTGGCGTTTCCCTATAAAAAGCAGGTAGAGGAAACCTCCGTCCTTCTTGGTAATTTCGCGTTGCCTGACAACTGCAGGCCGAGTGAATATATATATATAAATGAGTATTGCCTTTGGCTCGTGTTCAAGTTGTTGCTAACCCCACTCCGCGGAATTTCGCCCCCTTTTCTCGCAGTTCTGCCCAACATCGTGAACAATCAAATTCGCAGCGAAATGTACAAGGGCACGGATCCCACGGTGGAGACGCAGTTCAACAAATTGTACGTTTATCCCATGGACAATGTGAGCATTTTGTTCGCCGACATCAAGGTACGTGTTTAAGAAAGCCCGAGAGGTTTATAGTGTGAATTTGGACACATTTTTCTGCTTCGCCCGCAGGGTTTCACCGAACTCGCCAGTAAAACTTCGGCCCAGCAGCTGGTGAAAATCTTGAACGACCTCTTCGCCCGATTCGATCGCATTGCAGAGGTGAGTTGCAGAGAAAAACCTGAGAATCCTTTAAAATGATTTAAAAAGTGTATAAGCTAAATAATAATTGTTTTATGTCATGTTAAAAGTGTTAACATTACTATGCAATTTTCAAGTCAATTATCTTTTTGGTTTTATGACAAAGCAAGTAAATCCATTAAAAAATATCTACTTAATACTTTGATAATTTTTAACAATTTTAAAAGTATTATGTAGTTATTGGGTTTTTTTGCAAGCCAAATATTTTCTGTGTGGTTTCGTGCATTCGGCGAATGCTTTATTGAGCAATTTCCCCCGATTTTCACCCCCTGTAACGCTTTTCCGCTCTTCCGCCCCCCAAGGACAACCACTGTCTGCGTGTCAAGCTGCTGGGCGATTGTTACTACTGTGTGTCGCAGTTCGAGAGCGACAACTGGAAGACGCGACCGGATCACGCGGTCTGCAGCGTGGAAACTGGCCTGCACATGATAAAGGCCATTAAGGATGTGCGCCTGCACACGCACGTAAGTGGAATCCAATCGAATCGAATCGAATCGCATCGCATCGCATCGTATTGACTCGAATTCGAGTGAACACGATGAAGGGCGGCCCTTAAGCGTTTATTTAAATTTTGCGACACACAACCTGGCCAAGCGAAAAAACCAGGTAACCGGGCATTAAAAATTTAGCATACATTCGAGGGCAGCGGCTGCATAATGTTATCCGGGATTCATTCGAAATATATAAAATATAGTAGGGATCGGAAAAATAGGATTTAAAAGTCGTATTTTCGAATGAGCTGAAATTAAATTGAATAAATCCAGTTGTTGAGGTCCTCTGGTTTTTTATTCGTTTAGTACGGGACATGTGAAATATTTAATACCCATTTTTCAGTTTTCAGATGTTTGGCATTCTTTTATTTGTGAGGAGGTTTTCGTTTATTTTTTATTGCACAAGCCAGTGCCGCGTTTTTGACCCTGGCCAGTGGCACTACTGTAGTAGCAAAAGGCAGCAGGAGCTGTGGAACAGAGGCAGTGGACGTGTTGACAATTCATTTGTATGCAAATCTCAACAGAGCAAAAGGCAACGACAACCGTTGGCCGAAAAGCAGCAGCAGCGAGAGTTAAATTTTCATACGACAAAGTGCCACTGGAATTTAATTGATTTTTTTTTTTTTTTGGTGCCGACCAGAGCTTTGGGGCCTGCCGCAGAGAAATGCGGGAATCGCATATTCGTTTACGGGGATTTATGCCGCCTGCAGTCGCATAATTGGGCCACCGACTTAATTGCTGCGGCAGTTTGACGATTGACTGCCCAACTCAATATGCCGGCAAGCTGATGGCTTAAGAGAACACCGGGAAAATGGGTGGGAAATCACGGAGGGAAATGGAAAAATTAATTATATTTAAAGTATATAGATCAAATATAATTGAATTTGAATTATTATTATTCCTTCCTTTTCAAATTCAAATGAACAATAACATTTCTAAATTACCTTTTATACTAAATTACTTGTTTTACTGCGGGATTTATTTCGGTGAAATTTTTATAAAAGCAAAAATAGTATTTTCAACGATGCCTTAAATTTAAGTACATTTTTTCCGTGTGTAATGAAATTTGTTGGTCACTTTCGAATGCTCATTAAAATATTTCGTCAAGCTTTGCATATTTAAAGAACTTCGCTCCGCAAATTACAGGTGGACCTCAATATGCGAATCGGCATCCACAGCGGTTCAGTGATGTGCGGAGTTTTGGGCAACAAGAAGTGGCATTTCGACGTCTGGTCCAATGATGTTATCATTGCAAATCACATGGAATCCGGCGGTATTCCCGGGTAAGTAAGCCAGTCACGTAGAATTCCGCCAGGAAGAGCCAACTACACAGTTGCGTGTGAGTGCAATTGTAATGAGTTGACAAACTCAGGTGAGCAGATGGAATAGAGAATCCCAGAAATGCCCGCAGGAATGCTTCCCTAATAAAGCAACACATTATCCATTTGAAACTGAATCGCATACATAAATGATTCTGTTAATAGGAAGCCAGAGGTTTAAAGGTCAAAACATCACAATTAAGTTGCTTTGTCAGCAGCCACAGCTTCTACTTATTAATTCTGAATAGTAGTTTGTGGGTTACACTCAAAAATGTAGGGGTGGGTTTTGATACCTGCAGCATTCTTAATAATATTAATTCATTGTGTCAAGAATTCGGGTTTCAGTTAGGTAGAATCTTAATAAATCTTGAACCTAAAAAAATAGAACAACTTTTACAATTATACAAATATTTTTTCTTGCATCAGTTGAAGACTTTTAACTTACTTTTTCTTCAAGTGTGACATACCTTTCTTGTCTTAAATTTAGTTGTAAAACTATCCCTTAGCCGAATAACTTTGACTTTGGTGGCAAGTCTCTGCCTGGCCACAGTTTTAATTGGCCAATTTGCGGGTCCTGTGGCTCGGCTCCTGCTCTCTATTTTGCTCCTACTCTTCTCGCAAGCTACAACAATCAGTCGGCAATTTTGCAAGCTTGGCGTGTTTAGACACAAGAAACCAAATAATAGAAAGAAAGAGCTCAGGAGCAGTGGGAAATGGAGAAAATCCGAGCGACCGCAGAACCCGAAACAAAATGAAAAGCCCCAGAAATGAAAAGCTCAATTTAATGCAAAACGCTTTGATGTAATGGTGGGCTGGGCGGCAACCAGAAAACCATCAGCCATCAACCATCAGCCAGTGGAGCAGGAGTCGTAGCATTATAGTCCACTAAGAAACCCAATGGAGACCCAATTATGAAGGGCACCACCGCCTCCGAAAGGAAAACACAAAGAGCTGGGCGGGAAAAATGGTAAATGAAATGGTCGGTGGTTTTGGGCAAATCACCACGCACATTCATAGAAAACGTATGCAAATATTTGAATTTAATTTTCGCCAACTACATTTCCGAACTTTCAACTCGAGCCTGGCCCACTGCTAATACTCTCACCTTGGAATCTGTGGTTTCACCCCTCTCTCCTTCCCTTTGCTCCCCGCAGAAGAGTCCACATTTCGGAGGCGACGCTCAAGTGCCTGAACGACGCCTACGAGGTGGAACCTGGAAACGGCGGCAGTCGGGACAATCACCTCAAAATGCTGAACGTCAAGACCTTTCTCATCAAGCGCACCGAGCCGTTGAGGTAAGTGAAAAGCATACACTGGGGAAAAAATAATCTCCTTTACCATTATTAAGAAAACTAGTAAAATGACAGTGAGAGTATAATTGTCAAATTTATTATATTATTAAATTAATAAACAGAAACTATAGTGAAAATGAACAGAAAAGAATAGATACCTTTTGAAAGTATTTTTAATAAATTGAAGACTTTTAATAAATATATTAGTAAGTGAAGATTAGATAGATATTAGTAGTTAAGAACGCAAAATATAAACCAGTTCAAACATATTACCCGAAAAAAATATGCATATATAAATTTGGTCATTATAACTTATAATATTATATATTCCTTTTAAACTAGATATGTTATTGGATCATTTGTTAAACTTCTTAAAGTAGCTGCTTAATTGGATATTTAATGACTTTGTTCTGTTTAGTTCCAACTTTTTTTTGTTCTTTGGGTGTGTTCAAATACGAAACCGACAATTGCTAACCAAGCCATCGCCTGCTTCACCTCTTTTTTAGACCCAAACGTCGTTTTGGCACGCGCAGCAGCGCCCATTTGGCGGGAAGTGTGGCTACTGCCAACACCGCCCCCTCGGCCACGCCCACCGCCTTGCCGAAATCAATCTCGGCCAGCGGAAGTGGCAGCATCGGTGGGGTGACCGCAGCTGGGGGAGATGGAGCGAGCATGGATGGTCGGAGCCTGGAGTACGCGGCCACCATCGCCATTCCCGCCCAGCAGCCGGCGCAACTCCTCCAGCAGCAGCAGAAGAAGAATATATCCTTGAACTCGCTGCCCAATGTCGTGGAAGGAGTGGCCATGGACAATAGGAGGATGCGGAACGGCTGCAGTGGAGTGGGAGGACCAGGTGGCTCTGGTGGAGCTGGAACAGGTCCGTCTGGCATGTCCACGGTTTCCTCACCGACAGCCATGATGTCGGCACCACTGGAGGTCCAGCTGAGGGCCAAAAACGGAGCCACCAGCATCCAAAACCTGGCGGAGGCCATCGACGGCAAGGGACTGATCATCGAGGACGAATCGACCACCGACTGGATACCAGAGATTCCATTCAAGAACGTAAGATAATATAATCTATCTTTAAAAAAAAAAAATAAATAAATCTAATTAAAATTGAATTAATTATTTACTTAAATATTTATCTAGTATAATTATTTTATGTCTTATTAAGACTTATCTAATCAATATATTTTACAGCTTAACAGCCCCGAAGAAGGACTTAATCGTGCGGATTCCATTTTAGTTGATACCAAAGAGGATCACAGAGTATCGGTGGCTGTTTTGGATGAGGAGGTAACCGTAATATCTCCCTCTCTTTATTTATATTTCCATTTCAATAACCTCCATAACTTCAAATCCAGATCGACGAGTTCATAGAGCAGAACATTCAAATCAACTCGAACAAGGAAATCCGACGCGAGTACCTAAATCCCTGGACCCTGAAGTTCAAGGATAAGAGTCAGGAGCAGAAGTTCTGCCAACTACGGGAGGATATGTTCCGGTGCGTATGCAAGCCGGCTGGCTAATGGAAAGCAAACAAAGGGCAGGAGCCCTTAATTAATGAACTGTTGCTAATTGATTTTTGCCCCCGCTCCGTTTCAGTTCGAATATGCTGTGTGTGTTTGTCATCTGGATATTTATGGTTCTGTGCCAGGTCATCATCATTCCGCGCTGCACGCGTCTCATTATTTGCCTCTCCGCCGGCACCTTGGTTCTTACCTTCTGCTGCGTTCTGGTTATGGCCGAGGAGTTCCCAGGTGAGAGCATATAAAATATCTTCGTTCAATAAAATATAATAAAAAAATTGAGATGACCAGATAGAATTATATGTACTTAACTTTCAAGCTAGGAATCTAGCGTTTATTAGGAAGCAAAATCCATTACCTAGAGTATTGAATCAAGAAACATATATTGACAATGATACATTTTCTAAGTTTTTTATAAAGTGCAGTTAAGGTTGTGTTACTCTTGGATCTAAAACCCATTTTTCTCCATTAGGCTTGCCACGCTGCCTGAAGACGAACTCGGCCAAGTTGGTGCACCAACGACAGCGGCGCACTCTATTCATTTGCGGCGTCATCGTGTCCATGTGCATGCTGAGTGCCATTGGATTGGTGCTGTGTCCCTCGTCCACCTACATCGGCACCGTGGACGAGCACTCCCGCTTCCTGCGACTGACCTCCCTGTACAGCAACTCCTCCCTGGCGGAGAGGGAGTACAAGCTGAACGTCTACCTGTCGGCCACCATCCATCACAACATCACGATTAGCACGCCGACGAGCGGAGGAGCTGGCTCCCTGGTGGACATAACCAGTGGCCCATCCGACGAGCTGGTGCGGAGCACTCTGGCCAATGCGCTCAGTTTGAACTTGACACCACCTTTGGAGCTTTACGAGCAATCGCACCGACCATACACACTGACCACCAATGGACACTCGGTGTCCTTGGGCAACTTCAGCTACGGAGATTCGGCGGGAATGCGGAGTACGGTGGATCTCGAGTCGGACTGCGCCCATCCGGAGTACCTGGTGTTCACCTGGGTGCTTTGCCTCGTTTCCCTGGCCACCGCCCTGAAGCTGTACTACCTGGTTAAAGCCATCATGGCCTTGGGCATGGTGGGCTTCTACACCACGCTGATCATGTTCAAGTTCAGCACGGATGACAGCTTCAGCTTGGGCAACCTTTCCCGGCTGGGAATGCCCCTCGGAGTCCAGATGCTGATACTCCTAATCTCGTTTCTCGTGATGGTCTGCTATCATGCAAGACTCGTTGAGGTAGGAACTTACCCACAGATGTGGTTTATACAATCCCCCAGCTCATTACTCATCCGGATTCCCGCAGGTAACCTCCCGTTTGGACTTCATATGGAAGGAGCAAGCAGAGCGTGAACTGACCAACATGAAATCCAATCGTGCGCTTAATGACACATTAATTAAGGTAAAAGATTCGCCCCCAAAACAGTGAAGGAAAATGTGGTCAGCATTATTAGAAAAAGAAAAATAGTAGTACACATACACCTCCAGCAAGTTTTATCACTTCTCCATGTTTTTTCTTTCTGTGGAAATGCCCTCTGTCCATTTGTCATTAATTAAACTATTTGGTTGCAGAACATCCTGCCGGACCACGTGGCCACCTATTACCTATCCGACGAGCACACGGACGAGCTCTACTCCAAGATGCACAACCAGTGCGGCGTGATGTTCGCCTCCATTCCGAACTTCCAGGACTTCTACTCCGAGGACATCGACAACGGCAAGGCCTGCATTCGCATACTGAACGAGATTATCTGTAAGTTGATTGATTAAGTCCTATGCCGCGATTCCATCTGTCTAACGCTGCCGCACACAACACGCACAAATCAAACCAGGCGACTTTGATGAATTGCTGGAGGAGCCGCGCTTCGCATCGGTGGAGAAAATCAAAACCGTGGGTGCCACCTACATGGCTGCCGCGGGATTGAATCACGAGCATCTGCGGCTTCGCGGCGAGACCTCCGAGGACAGCGTGTGTGACCTCGTGGAGTTCGCCTTCGCCATGAAGCAGAAGCTGGAGGAGATCAACGGCGACGCCTTCAACAACTTCCAGCTGCGCGTGGGAATCTGCAGTGGTCCGTTGGTCAGCGGAGTGATTGGCGCCAGGAAACCCGTCTACGACATCTGGGGCAACACCGTCAACGTGGCCTCGCGCATGGACTCCACCGGCGAGAACTGGCGGGTTCAGGTGCCGGAGAACACGGCGGAGTTGCTCTGCTCCCGGGGTTACACTTGTGTGGTAAGTTTACCTCGTTTAACTATCTTATAAATATAATTAATAAATCTTAACCCCCAGAAACGAGGTGAAATCGCTGTCAAGGGCAAGGGCATGATGACCACGTTCTACGTTCACCCCAAGGGCATCTCAGAGAGTCAGTTGATATCACCTGTCCGAATGCCAGCTGGGATTCCCCTGGCGCAAACACCGAACCTCCAGCGACAGACCTCCCATCATGGATCCTTCAGCGCCGTGGTTTTTGGAATGCTGCAGGCCAGCAAACGCAGCACGGCCATTGCCGGAACACGTGGGTTTCAACCACATTCTTAATAATTTTTAAAGTTAATTAAAAATTATTTTAATAGCCACTGGCACTCCGTCGCCTCAAATACGTCGAGGACATCGGGGAAGCACCTTTAGCTCGGTCCGATTATCACAGAAGTCAACCACGGTGAATCCAGTGCGTCGGAATACAACTCGAGTACGGGGACGTTCCTATCGCCAGAAAAAGGTAACTTAAATCAATTGTTGATTAAATAAAATATGGAATAGTGTTAACTTAAGATAACGCTATTAACCATTTGACAAGCTGTTGTATATAAATATATATTTTTAAATCTTTAGAGTTCCTCCAACAACTCGATCGTTACCCAGGCCAGTTCCAGCTATATGCCATCGTTCAGACGGATCGATCAGATCGAGACGACCATATCGAAGAGCCACAACGATGCGTTATAGCCGACTACTACGCGCTCTCACTGGGTCTAAGTCGATCTCAAGCGGATGAATTGCGTAATGAATTTATTTTTGGAACGATTTTATGCAACACGAAATGATTATAAATAATGCTGCGCCTACAGTTAAATCGGTTTGCTGGCTTAGACTTAAGTTGAACTAGTGGAGATCGGCACTGATGCTACTTAGTAGAATTTTTTAAATCACCGTCTTGCTGATTAAATAAATTAAATTCTTGCATTATCTAAGCACAATTCTAGTCGTTAATCTTAAGAATTGCCGTTTGTATGTGTGCTTTAAATTTGTTTAGAGTAAGTAATTTCGATCTTCCCATGTTAACTGAACGAAATGCCAATGAACCTACTAACTTTGTTCAATTCTACCAAATTATTTATCAATTCTAGCGTAATTTTCTTGAACTAGTAGTAAATTTTAAAAGTCATTTACCAATCAAATTAAACATTCGTTGTACAAATCTTTTCTTGTAGTAAGACATCGTATGTGTAGACTAAGAATTCCTGAATGTAAAATATTTTACCAATATTTTAAAATATCTGTATAAAGACGAACGAGTGTTACTGAAATGCGAAATTGAACATGGAAAATAAAAGATGTACAAGTATTATAGCCAACAGAGTTTAAGTGCATAAATTGTAATTAGAAATATTTTAAAATAAATGTGATAAACAAACAAAATAAAAATAAGGCAGTCTTTTATTTCTGGATAAAATAAATTTAGTTTTGAGCTGATTAATAATGTTTTTCATTGCAATCCAGTCTATAATAAATGGTTCCCGCCATAATTTGAAAAATGCACTGTGAATGTCAAAAATTCAGGGCTGCACAGAAAAACTATCGGATAATTTCCAATGGTGGGAAAGCAAATATCTACATAATAAAATTTGTAAACAAAAGCTAACCAAATCTATATACTTAAGAAACAAATATCTTTTGTTCCCAAATTGTATACAAAAATGTGACAAAAACATCGATAGTCGCAGTCAACCATCGATATTTCCATCGGTGTTGCCCCACCTCTATTTCCAAACACATGCGGTAGAAAAAGTGTGATTACATTAGCTCGATTTCGACTTGATTTCAAGGCATCTTGCTAAATTCGGAGTAACCACAGAGTGGCGGTGACTGCCAACATCCAGCAGAAGATCGGGACGCACTTGAGATGACGAGCGGTACGGATGCGAGAGAAGAGGGCGCTGTCGCGGTGCAGCTGCCGCTCAAGGTCGCCCGCCGGAGAATCGAGCGCGTTGGCTTGGCATACTTTGCGCAACGGCGCCAATTTTTAGCACCCGGCGGCGTGGAGCGCAGCGATAGCGATGAAAAGCTGGAGGGAGTCGGCGAGGAGGTGGACGTCAGCTACCTCAAGTCCCTGGATCCCAAAGAATGGAAGGACCAGGATCACTACGCCATTCTGGGTCTCGGAAAACTGAGGTGCGTGGGACAGCACGTGGTTGCTGTCACTGCTACAAATTATTTGTGGCTCTACCTTATACTGATTTTGTGACTAATCCATACAGATACGAAGCAAGCGAGGATGATATTCGACGGGCATACAGACGCATGGTCCTGCTGCATCATCCCGATAAACGGAAAGCCAAGGGCGAGGAAGTGATTCAGGACGATGACTACTTTACGTGCATAACCAAAGCCTACGAGATACTGGGTGAGTTTCAGGGCCATGTCCTTCAAAGGATTTTATAGGATTAAGCTAATTTTAATTTTTACGTCCAGTTTTTAACATAAGATGATGACGCGTTCAATGTTTATCTGCGTTTCTAATCAATCTATCTACTCTTGATTTACAGGGACATCCAAGACACGTCGCAGCTTTGACTCCGTGGATCCCGAGTTCGACGACTCGCTGCCCTCACAGAACGAAATCGATGGCGATTACTTTGGCGTGTTTAACAAATTTTTCACACTCAACGGACGCTGGAGCGAGAGACCACACGTTCCCGCCTTCGGGCAGGTGGACGCCAAGCGCGAGGAGGTGGAGCGCTTCTACAATTTCTGGTATGACTTCAAGTCGTGGCGAGAGTTTAGCTACCTGGACGAGGAGGACAAGGAGAAGGGACAGGACCGCGACGAGCGGCGATGGATCGAGAAGGAGAACAGGGCGGCGCGGATCAAGCGCAAGAAGGAGGAAATGTCCCGTATCCGCGCGCTCGTCGATTTGGCCTACAACAATGACAAACGAATCCAGCGGTTCAAGCAGGAAGAGAAGGATCGCAAGGCCGCCGCCAAACGAGCCAAGATGGACGCCGCCCAGGCCCAAAAGGCTGAGGCGGATCGAGCCATTCGGGAAGCTGCTTTGGCCAAGGAGAAGGCCGAAAAGGCGGAGCAGAAGCGCATCGAGCAGATCCGCATCGAACGCGAGCAGCAGAAGAAGCTGCTTAAGAAGGAGCGCAAAACGCTGCGCGACAAAGTTAAGGACTGCAAGTATTACGCAAAGAACGACAAGGATCAACTGAAGCACATGGAGGGCACCGAGAAGATCTGCGAGACATTCAATCTGGCAGAGCTGCAAGCCTTGAACAAGGCCATGGAAACTAAGGGTCGTGAATCCTTTGTGGCCGCCCTGCACACAGCCGAGCAGAAGATCGCCGCCGAGCTGGAGGAGATTAACCAGACGCAGGCTAAGAAGGTGGCTAGTGCAGCGGTGACGCCGAAAGGTGTCAAGGAGGTGAAAAAGGGCGAACTCTGGAGCAACGAGAACGTGCAGCTGCTCATCAAGGCGGTCAATCTGTTTCCCGCTGGCACTGCCCAACGCTGGGATGTGATCGCCACGTTCATCAACCAGCACAGTCCGGGAAATACCGTCCTGGTCAATGCTAGGGATGTGCTGAACAAGGCAAAGGCGCTGCAGAACACAGATCACTCGAAGAGCTCGCTAAAAACCCAAGCCAACGATGCTGCTTTCGCTAGTTTCGAGAAGTCCAAGAAGGAAGTGCAGACGTGCAACGACATAACTCTGGGCGATGAGACGCCGGCCCAGGCCAGCAAGGAGAACGTCAAACAGAACGGAGTAGATCATAAGGTGAACAATCAACCGGCCAAGCAGAATGGCAACGCAGCGGCTCCTGCTGCAGCATCGCCCGCAGCAGCTGCACCACCAGCTCCGGCCACAAATGGAACTTCTGGTGGCAGCGGCGGCGGTGGTGGTGCCGCCTCCAAAACCTGGACCAAGGAGGAGCAGGCACTGCTCGAGCAGGCCATCAAAACCTATCCCACGACGACGCCCGATCGCTGGGACCGCATCGCCTCGTGCATACCGAATCGCAGTAAAAAGGATTGCTTGCGCCGCGTCAAGGAGCTGGTCGAGCTGGTTAACTCCAAGAAGGAGGCGCAGGCGGCGGTTAAATGAGTGTGGCTTATGCCCTGCTATACCCTGCCATTTGTCCGCCTCAACCTCTTCTAGCTGCTGTGTCCCATATAAATTTTATTTAAATAAAACATAAAAAGTTTTTGAACGTTTAGCGAAAAGTTACATCCAAAGTTTCTCCATTTTGACTAGCTAGTTGCCGCAGGTATACCAAGATCAAGATATATATGTTCTGTACGGGAGGGTATTCTTATGTCTGCTCAGCCACACTGCGTCCGCCGCTCATTTTCAGATCGAAGGCTTGCGGATTGGCTAGTGGGTCCAAGTCGGCGAAGAGATCCAGCCAGGGATTGTTGGTGGACTGTATTTTTCCGGCCGTCGTGGAGGGTTGACCGCCAACTGCTTTGGAATCCTTCGCTGGCTGGCTTGGTAAGGGTTGTTGGTTCTGCTGACTGAACAAACGCGACCATAACTTGGTGTTGCCGCTGTTTTGGGCAGATTGTTCTTCATCCAAAGGCGCATCAATCAGCGGACTGTCTTCCATCTGCTTGGAGAGCTCAATCAGCAAGGATTCATTGTCGCCGCAGGCAGTGGCAGTTTCACTTGGTTCTCCCTCTTCGGGCTCCTTAGCTTCTGGCTGGGGTTCCAGCTTGTCCTGGTACTCGTTCTGTATATAAAAGATGTTCGTATTAGTTGGTTGTTAAAAAGTGTCTTTATATTTATAGTTACGGCAAAGAACAGCGACTGATCCTTGTCCACGGCTTCAATGGGCGGCACTTCCTCGCTGGGTCCTTCATTTTGCGAGAGCTCCTTCAGCACACAGAAATCGTACTTGGGTTTAATGATTAGCGCCTTGGATATGGTCTGGAATGTGGAGGCGGCCTTCTGGGCAAAGCTCTTCAGTTCGGCCACATAGGCCACTAGGGCATGGGAATACATATTGCAGCGGGCGGCGGCCAGTAAATCAATCTGGAAGAGATTAAGTAATAAAATGTTGAGAAAGTCGAAAGATATCACCAATTTAACTGATTTAAATGGCAACTACTTTATCTGCTTTTAATAGTATGGGTACCTTTTGAATGGAATCCATGGAGTAGCCATCAAAATTATGCTTGGCCACTCGCACATGGGTCTGTGCCGTGCGGAACTTGTCCAGACCCTTGCCCGTATCCGGATCCAGTTCCTGGCTGGCTGATTTCATCCAGGATAGAGCCGCTCGGTATTCCGTGCGCTCCTTCTCCATCGACTGGAGGGTCTGCTCGGTGTCCTTCACTGCCCGGCACCTGAAGACATCCACCTCGTGCTGGAGTCGCAGCAGCGGCACCCGCACGCACATCCTTTGCTGTCCGGCGAAGGACACTGCCTTGCCCGTGTGGGCAATACTTCCGCCCGTCGTTCTGCTCCTCTTCCCCGCCTCCTTTAAAAACCGCCCAAAGACGCACTCCTCCTGCGATAGGATGCAAAGGCGCTCCTGGTATTGGTCGATGATTTTGCAAAGGTTCAAGCTGGTGTCCGATATCGATTTGAACACCTCGATCTTGGAGTCCAGCTCCGCGTCGGAGGATATTACGTGCTTGTCCTCCTTCGTCCCGAGTTTGCGCTGCACCACCTTCTTGGTGACCCAGAACTGGTGCTGAACCTCCGATTTGAGCATTTTTTCCTTGTTCTGCGTTCCAGTTTTCAGCTGCGGGTGATTTTTCGCCACTTGACGGTTGGGGGCGGTTGGGTGGATTTGGGGGTAGCGCTGTATCGTTATTTTCCACTGTCAATCGGGTTTCGATTAAATGGCGAGTTACTCAGCACTGCAGTGTGGCGCTCATCTGAGTTTTGAATTTTATAGTTGAGAAAATATTATTTATTGGCAGTTGGTAAGTTATTTCTTTTAATTTATTTTATTTTTTCGTAAGTAATATTTAATATATAAAAGGCTTAAACTGGAGTGACGGCTCGCATATAAAAGCTTTACTGTTATTATTACATTTTGGTATATTTGCAGTATTTTTATATCCAACGGTATGCTCAGTCTCACGCTGTTATGTATCTCTGTAAAAACACGACATGTAACGGCAATTTAAGTTTAAATCGATCTCTGGCAACAAACTACTCTGGTCGAGTGGACCTGTCGGGTTCTTATAGAGAATTTACCCATTAGGGAAAACGTTGTCCTCGTTACCCGTTTGGAAAAACTTTGTCCGCTGTTTGTACGTTTGGAAAAACGTTGACCCACGCAAGGTTTCGGTTAACCAGGTTGAAAAAAGGACCTCTAGCGGACGAGTTTGACTAACATTTAAAGACAACAACCGATGGTGGTGTGATTCACTAAGACCATTTTAAGCCCCGTGCACCGCATAAGGCTTAAACAACAAATTCTATTCCTGTTTCTTTTGCACTTACGAGAAAACACCCTTTCACTCGCACTCATTGCAGTGCGCAATAATGGACTGACAGATCCGTCGAGACTACCTTACACTTATTCTGTCTCTGGCTTTCCATCGGTCGCTTTCCACTCGCTTTTCCTCTCCGAACCAGCCAATATTTACGCAAGTGCATTTCCTTCGCGTCGCGAGTTTTCCTCGTTTGTTTACCTCCGCTTATCGCTGTGTGTGTGAATTTGGATCTTATGAATGCAACTGTGTTTGTTAGCCACCGGCTAAAATTCGAAATTTGAATTTTTATTTTGGAGACTGTTAAAGTGCAATTGCAAAATTGGAAGCGACACATTTTTGCGGCATTGCTAAATTGCTGGACAGGTATGTAAAGGTTGATATCGGTGTATTAAAGAGATACTTTTTGATGCTGCACATACACAGAGGCACGCACAAGAAGAAAGTGAAGAAGTGTGTGCCAAGTTTAGTAGTTTTCTTACAACTTTAAAAAACGGGTTGTGAGGTGGACTTTTGCCACCTGCACGCGTGGGTGTGTGGGTTGAGTGCATGTGTGTGAGTGATTCAACTAAATTGATTAAGGCAAAAATAAAGATAATGCACTGTAATAACCAAAAAACAACTCCAACAGCCCGTGGCGGCCTCATCTTCTTTTGAAACCCCCCCCTTACATGCACTAAAAAAAAGGTCTTAAACAACCTTTTCATATTCATTATTGTTAAGATTTTAACAAGAAAAAATGATTTTAACAAAAATCCTTGCATTGTGACTAGTATTAAGAACATGAGAAGATTGACACTAAATCAATTTCAAGATCAAAATCAATAGTTAGATCCAAAGTGGCCAGCTTGAAAAGGGTTAATTTAAAGAAAAAGTTACCAAAACTAAGCAAAGTTTAAATAGTCTTATTTGAACCCATGATCCTGTGCCATGATCATAATTTTGTCGTCAGTGTATTGAAGATCTTAAGCCGCTCTTGCAATTAGATTCGGTTGCGGCCACTGAGCACAACAAAAAAGCCAAACAAAAAAGCCAGCAACCACAATGAAATCATCGAAATCCAAAGAAAAAAAAGGCAGCCGAAAGAACTCAAAGCTGAGGGAAAAAGGTCACGGCACTTGCTGCTGGCTGCTTGCTAAGCTTTAATGGGCCGCCTTGGGCCGAGCAAACAACAAGAAAACTCAACAATTGTTTAATGCAAGCGGGCACCTTGTTAACCCTCTTTCCCTCTCGCTGTCCCTCTCGGCCATCTCTTTCCCTCTCTTGTTTGTTATTGAAAGCCAACAAAGATTTCTCTGCATCTGCAACCTGACACAGATGGTGTTTCTCTGGTGGATACTGTCATCGGGCGGCATTAATCAATAATATTCAAAATCAGAACAGCGCCAAGCTGTCTGTCTCTGTCTTTAGGCGTCTTCCGCTCCCACACTATAATACCCTATAAAACTACGGTTTCAATTCTTTATGAAGAACTTGCCAATAACTCGACCATTATTATATAAAGTCTTCACAAATAAAGCCAACTATAAACTGGATTGTCGTCTTAATACCGATATGTCAATCTGGACTTGATTCGCTTTGGTAAACAAAATGTCGTTAACACTCCATATGAAAACATTTAAAAAAAATTTCCTAATGTTGATGATATACTAAATTTACTTTCTAAAAAATATCCATAAATATATTATAATAAAACTTTTAAAACTGGCTACCAACTTGGTTGCCATTTAGAGGCAACGGATTTAATCTTCATATAATTTAGGCAAGCTTAAGTTTGTAGGAAAATATAAGTAATAGTTTTGAAAACACAAACCATTCTGAATTCTCTAAACATTTTTGTGATTTACCTTAAGGACGCTCCACTGTCTCAAAGTCTTCTGTTTCAGTTTATTTTGCATATTTTCTCACAGTTCCCGCGGTGCAGTAAAAAAAAAATGTGAAAATTTCTTGCAAATACCTGCACATACATAATTTTGTCCGTTGTTGTTGTTTTTGCAAAATTTGTATCGAGTTACTTTGGTTGCTGCTCTCATTTGCATGCTGTGATATTGTTGTTGCCGTTGTTGTTGTTGTTTTTGCTCTGGTTGCTGTTTTTCCACTGATTATTTCTTGTGTCGCTGCCGCTTGGCGTTGCTGCAACTAAATTGGCCTTAATTGGTTGCCTTTTTGTTGCCAATTTTGTTGTTTGCCCGCTTCAGTTGCAGTTTTTTCAGCGGCTGTGACCATATTTCTGTTGTCTTGCCTGTTGCACAGTTGTTGCTCTCTTATCGGTCGTTGCCGGCCGGCTGGAAGCACTCTTGGCCACTTTCGACCACTTGTGGCATGCAGCCGAGTGTAATTTTTTATTTGCTGTCTTGTTTCGCTGCCCTTTTTGGCCGGGTCTAATTGCTGCGGAATTGGCTTTGTGTTGGGAAAGGAAACCGAACGGGTGTGTGCCACTGAAATCTGTTGAAGGCTCAATAGACGCCAATAAAATCAATTGGTGGGAAAAGATTTAAAATACAATAAATAATTGTTACTGGAAATCTTTCTACAAATATTTTTGTGATCATTTTAGTTGTCAAGTAATTCTTACCAGCAATACCTTAATTTAAATAAGAGCAATGATAAGTATTATGAAAGGAAATCTCTTGACTGTATAATATGGGAAGTCATTTCTGAAGATCTAAAAACTAGGGATTTTACTTAGTTTTTTAAGTAGACTTCGTGTTGGCTTAAACATCCCGTAGCGAGAGCATTACCCGTTCGACGCGTTACATGGCTAATGTGATATTTCCCAATTTTATTTGTTTTGCCTGCCTGCTCGCGTTTTTTCAGCTGTTTGCATTTTTAATGCGCTTGCATTGCTTATTTGATTTAATTAGCCAGCCAGCCAGACCGGCAGCAGCCGGTGAGCCGAGTTTTCATTATTGTTTGCAAATTGTGGGAAAAAATGCACGGATCTCCCCCGCTTCCACTGCCTCCCCAACTGCGTTTTATAGTCGCAAATGTTTTTTGGTGGCCATTATGCAATCGAAGCTCTGGAACCAGCCAATAAATCAAAATGCCATTCTCAAGACTCTGGCGGCTGCTGCAAGTGCCACATGCAGCATTAGGAACAACAACAACAACAATGAGCTGGGCCCCAGTATTCAGAGCATGTCAATGTGGGCCTCCGGTAATGTTAGCCCAACTGCCCCTGCTTCCTCCCATTTGCCCTCTTAAAGGCCCACACACTTTTAAGTGCATCTAGAAAATAAATTTGCTTGAAATTTTACTTTAAATTGGTTGGTTTTACGAGGTATAGAAGTGCAGTTTTGGTTTAGCTCTCTGGAAGCCAAGCTATTTGGAAATCACAATCAAAATGGTCTACTTTCGTTAGAAAAAAACAACTTTATTGCAAACTTTTTACCAATTGGATCACAAACATATAAATTGGACTTAAATTTAAGTAATTTTCGAGTTCCAAAATGCAGTTTAGCTTAACCTTTATAAAATCTTCCGCAAAATTCAAAAAATGCTTACAATAGGAAGACCTATTTTTCTTTCATTTATATAACTTTTTTAAGTGTAACTTATCTAAAGCAACCGATCAACATTAAATGAATTTTTCCTCTGTGTACGACATTTACCGTTTCGGCAAGGTCTTGCCGACCAGCTGCCAGTTGGTCTCGATCTCCCAGATTCTTGCCACTTGCCGCAAACACGAGTGCGGGTATGCGCCACATGTGCCACCCATTGCACAATCGCAGAATGTGCGGCTGGCTGTCCTGCTGTCCCGCTGTCAATAAGCCAACAGAGCTAGTTTATTGAGTCGTCGTCGTTGTCGCCGGTTCCCTGCACTCAGTTAACCCAACCAACCTGTCATGCCCACGCGTCGAGGCCAAGTGGCCTGGGTCCAGTACAAAAAGCATCCGAGTGGCCACTTTATTCGGTCTGTCATACTACACCTATAACTATTTAATGCAGTGCATATGTGCACTCGAAAGGAAAGTGTTCTTCTAGGTGTGATACGCGAAAAAGGTATCGGGTAACAGCTTTAGGCCAGGCCAATTGTTCTTTAACTTTTGCAAATCAACGAGGAAAAAATTTGATGGTTATAGTAGTCGTTAACAAATCCCCTAACCTTTTTGAATAACCTGCACTACTTATGGGAAATACATTTAACATGAATTAGATTTTATAGCTTGAAATTTTTTAACAAGAAGTAGTGTATAATGAATCTTAAATTGGCATTATTTGTTAGTCAGCCTTGCTATCCAAAAAGTATGGCAATTTGCCAAAAGGTTATATTTTCATTCCTCGTAAAGTTGGCTAATTGTAGTTGCAATTGCCGTGAGCTGAATACTTAATCGAAAGACAATTTGTACAAAAATCGTAGTTTAAACATGCAATATAAAAGTATTACCGTTATTGAAGACTAACCAAAATTAATTGAAACTGTTTAGAGAAAGGAAAATTATACTGCCTGAATCCCATTATATTATTAAATGGATTTAAAATTAAATATTAATTGACTTGTAAATGTGATACTCAATTTAAAAAGTTTTTTTGTTTATTTAATTATGTTTATTTTTTATTGGATTACCTTATTTGATATTGCTTAAGTAGAGTAGCTTAAAAATCAACCTGGAACCTTCTCCTTTCTTTAGAGTTACTTTTGATGAATGGACTTCACCATTCTCATAGGTATTCCACGGTCGAGCACCAACGTTTCCTTTCATTTCCTGCCAACGTTTTGCCAGCGCTTTGCTGATTAGGTTTCAATTTGAATTCGAGTTCTGGGCGGGAAGTGAGTGGGGTCAGGGCAGGTGGGGGGCAACAACCCATGGGCTGATGACCCAGTTGCCGCCAGTCCAGGTCCACTCACACAGGCCCCCGGACTCAGATGCGCGCTTAGAAGCCTCCTACATGGAAGTTTCCTACTCGAGTTGCCTGATCGACTGACCCACAAAGGAGCCTTCGGCGGCAAAGGGGAAAATGGACTTAAATATAGCTATCAGGCTTTAAGTGGCAGCCACTGCCGCCTGAGCAAATTTATTGAATCTCATTGAGCAGCTTTCTATACTTTCTCGCTCGCACTGGCAGAGGAAAAATCGCCAGCGATTTGTTTATTGCGGAAGAAGTGAAAAGCGCGGCCAAATCACCTCGTCTTTATGCTAGCGCAAATTAATTTGTCTAAGACATTTCAAAGGCATCTCGCGGATGCGTATCTTGCGGTTTTTGTGGTCACTGGGATATTTACATTTCGTACGAGTGCCATATCGATATACATGCTGGATATCCGATGAGTTGGCTGAAAAAAGAGCGCTACCTCTCCTCTTTTTCCATTTGGCCACAAAGTGCGTTTTAATTAACCCACGAGGCGACCTGGCCAATTACTTTCTGCCTGCTTCTGCTTTTTGCCGAGGATCGAACGAGCACTGGGATTCGCAATGACTTTCACTTTCTCGCCCGGAATAGCCACCACGAGGGGGTTAACGGGGAAAATCGCAGGCGGCGGAGGGTTAATGAGGATGCCACATTGCTGCACATTTCGTGCCGCTTCATTGTGATTATCTTGTTGAAGAGATTCAAACTGTGGCAGCCGCTTTCATGTAATTTATTTGTTTATTGTCTTGGCCAGGGCCAGGCCTAAATCACACACACTCGTCGGCCCACACACACACATTAACCATCGGTCGAACCCTCCGACTTTTCACCATACACCCACCCCGGGAGGCAGCCAACCTAAACCTTCAGTTTTCAATGGGCGGTTGATGCTAGTGATACGTGATTTTTTGAGATCATCTAAAAAAAACTGTCTTTAAATTATTACAAAAATTTGTAAGGATATTTTATCTGTATTATTATTGGTTTTCATAGTATTGTATTATTATTATAATCCATGACATAGATGTATTGGATCTAAGAGACGATGAAGTTATCGCGATCACGAGGCCATCTCTAGGAAAGTACAGGAGGCCGCTGCTGTTACACTTGCACTTGCCATTTGCAACTTGTACCGCTGCTTGCTGCTCTTGTTGTTGCTTGTTTACCTATCGTCTCGTTTTGTGTGGAATCGCTCACCGTTGTCCGTCCATCAGAGCGTCCGTCCGTCCGTCCGTCCGTCCGTCCGTTGGCCTGTCCGCCAGTCCGCCCATCAGCTCTCGGTTGGTCCGCTTGTCGCTCCGTTAGCTCGTTAGAGCTGAAGATGAACAAGTTTTTCCTCAACTGGCACTCTAGACTTATTTCTTCATGAAGCCAGGAAGCCAGCGATTTCTCATCATTGTTGTTGCTGCTGCCGCCGCTGATGTTGCTCTTGTTACTGCTGCTGTTTCTTGTTGCTGTTACTCTGTAGATGTTGATGTTGCAGTTAGTGCTTTACCTTGGCGCAGAGCCACCCGCAACCTCCGACCCCCGAGAGCCGCCACATACCACTCATGCGAGGCGGCTTAATTAGCTCCATGGGCTTTTCTGGCATCTGTACTTTGGCATCTTCGGATCGGAATTGTTTCGCTTTCGTTCTCACATCCCGTCGTCGCTAATTTTTCGTATTTTCCGAGTGAGTGAGCTTTTCCAGCTGGCGTTTTTCGCACACCAATTTTGCACTTGATCAAAAGAAAGTTCCTAGCGATATTATTGGGTCCTCAAATTTTCGCTCAGCACGAGTGGGAAAGAAAGAAAGAGACGAAGTGAAAGAGTTAAGTGCATTTCCTGGAAATAACGTTTCCTCTGCCACGGCCAGCAGAAAAGCCAGTTCGGTTTTCCTCACTTTTCCGCACTTTGGCAGCTTTCAACTTGTTTGGGGTTTGCCAACTTTGCAGTTGGCTAAAATTGAAGTTCTAACTTTGAGTGATTCGATTTTGAAAAGACCATGATGTTCTGCACTTTTTGTTTAAAGATAGTAGATATTAAACATCTTTTCTTTGTTTACCATTTTTATATAAACTGTTTTCGACATCTTGGAAAAATTGGTTCGTACTTTAAAATTTTAGTATTCTGAATGATAAAGTAGAATATAAAAAACTGACAAAAAATGAAAAGATAAATTTGATACTTTTATTTTACAAAAAAAGAAAACTATTTGCCAATATTAAGCTGCATTTTACTGTCCCAATAAACGGATCGGATTGCATAAAAATTTTATTTTAAGAATTAAAGTAGTAAAAGAAGTAACCGATATTCCTTTCCATTTTATGGTCCCATAACTTTTATTGAATAAAATTAGCAAAAAATCAAATTTTATGCAAACACTGAAATCTTTCTTAATTAAATTCTTTGTGGGACCATCTTCTGTTCGAATGCGTTTGTCTCTCCACTTGGCTGCATCTTCCACCTTCTCCGGTTGAGTCATGCGATCTGGCAGAGAAACAGAAGAACGGGCCAGAGAACTTGATCCGATGTGGATTTTAGTTTTGGCCGAGAGTCAAGTTGAGTTACGCGGCCACTAAGTAGAGCCAAACTCGATTTCAGTTGGCTTGGCTTTTTTTATCTGCCGCTGCGAGTTTCTTTTCGTTTGTTTTCGATGCCACATTCCCTGCTCGTTGGCCTGGTCGCTTCTCACATGATTAAGCCCGATTGCTTTCAGCTGGCAGCCGGATTGCAGACTCCTCAACAAATCTGCGAAGACGCTGCCTCTCGGTTTCTGCAGACTGCAGTTGTTTTGCCTATTTATAGCACGGCGCTTTGGACTTTGACCAGATCTTCAATCCGATGACGCAGCTTCTCTGGTCTTACAGAAGAAAAAATAGATCATTGCAAAACTAGCTATGTGCAGAGAAAAATATTAAGATTCTACGTATTTGTTAACTATTTTTATAATTGGATGTAAATTAGAAAAACTTTCAATTTCATAATCTGTATACCTGAAAAACATGCATTTAAAGCTTTATTCTATTTTTTATTTAAAAACTCCAAGTCTTCTTCAACCAATTGAAAAGATATTAACCAATTTGTTTATGTGCAGCGATCTGCTACGATTTGCATCATCGTCATCCAGCGGGGAACAATGTGGTTTCCTCGAGTGGAGTTCAAGCCCCGAGAGGTCGTAGAAATCGCAGAGTCCATTGCAAAATCTTTAGCACACTCGAGATCTGCATTCTTATGGGGAGGCAGTTGGGGCATATCTTCTGCGCCGAAGACCATTGCGAAATACAAATATCAACAAATGAGCAAATCGTTTCGTTATTTGTTTGACAGCAACACAAACGTTGCATCAAAGTGGGTAAACAAAGGCTGAAGACGGAGATGGGGATGTCGATGCGGGGATGGAGATGAAATGCGGAAAATTGAGGAGGCGATGTTACCTTGGAGTACCCCGTCGTGGGCCTGATGAACGGTTGACCCAGTCGAGTGGCTTTGGGCCAGCAAACGCATTCTTGCCAGCTTTTGATTCAATTGATGCTAATTGCTAATTGCTAATTGCATAATATTTTCATTCGGTCTAGCTGGTTTCTTGGGCTTCCGCATTGGGCCATCTGCCGGGTCGAATGCAAATGCCTCGCCAGTCTTTAATTAAAGCCATCGCGAACACCTTCTGCGAGTGCAAAAGGAGGCGTTTGTATTATGAGCAACTCGTGTGGATTACTCATACGCCCCATCGTCCACACGAGCACGCCCTCTGGCGAATCAATGGCAACGCCTCCCGCTTTCGTGCCGCTTTTCCCTGCGTCATGGCACATGAGTTGGAAAACTCCCAAGGAGGCCAAGTCGAATGCCGAGATATTTATGGCCCAGCATTGATTTCAGCCATTCGAATCCGCTCTTGACTGCGTTCTGTGTGAGAAGTTGTGCTTGATTTAACAGTTGATTGGGCGGAGAAAATGTAATTTAAAACAACCACCCCTCAGATTAATCGGAAAAATGAGATCTGTAGAAGAGTTCAATTACGAAAAACACTTAATTCAGAAAAGTAGTCCAACAATGGAGTGTAATATTGGCATTTTGCTTTTGATTAATTTTTCAAATCAATTTTAAAGTTTTTATACAACTTTTTTTCTATTCCTAGTTCCTAATTACTAAATTAAAAAGCCAATAACTTTTCTTTATAATGAACGATTTTAGGTTCGTATACCCCAATATGATTCTGATATATTCCATAATAAAACTGCATACTTAGTTTGGTTTCGATTTTTGGAAAGGTTTTATCAAATTTTTATAGCGTGACCCCTGTCAGAATCAGCACTTTAAAACCCATAACATTTCTTAAAGAGAAGAGAGTTTGGTCCCGTCTGGCATTTGTTTTCCATGGCTTGTTAATTTTCACTTTGTTTTTGCCAGCGGAAAATCGCCGACAAAGAGAATCGGAAAACCTTTTTCAAGTTCACGGCTAGAAGCGCCGCACAGCAAATACAACAACGCCCAAGAGCTGCAATTTCTGAATTAGCCAAATTACTATTATTTGCCGCAGCACACAAGCACACCACAGCTACAAAGCCAAGGCACACATGCAAAAAACAAACGCATAGATACTAAAAGTAGCCACGGATACAGATACAGAGCCTTGTCTGTCTGGCCCGTCGCCTTGGCTCTCAAATTTTTGGCCCTGCAACGTGGCTGAATGATTTAATGTCCTTTTTGGCAGCCACACCCCGAAAACCTCGTCCCGCCAAACCGATGCAGTTGTTGTCTAGACTGCGGCAAACGAACTTTATTTGGTTTTTCTCTATTCCCTACTCTCCCTTTTCCCCTTTCCCTTCCCATTTCTATATTTCTCATTATTTCACTATTTTTCGGCGAAAAGTGAGTTTTTGCGGGGTTTCGGTTTTTCGACCAGGAGCTTAAGGACCTTCCCCCAATTCAATTTATAATGCCGCGACATTTTGCACTTTGCTTTGGCTTCAGGTTTGCGTGACTCTGCGACTTAGCAAGAGGAAAAGAGAGAAAAAAATTAGCCAAATGATAACAATTTTTCCTTCGCTTTTATTTCAATTTTAATTCAAAGCGGATTTTAGCATTACCTTGGCGGGGTCTCTTTGTTTTGGCTTTTCGGAAAAGTGGCAGTTTGAGGGGTTCAATGGAGTTCAGTTTTGATATTTGCGTGCCTGGCCGCAAAAAGTTTGCGAATGGTTTTTAATGCTGCACAACGATGCGCATTTCCGATAAGGTCGCTCTCCCTCTCAGAAAGGGTTTTGCATTGCATAACACCATCAATCTTTTGACCAGGCCAAAAGCAAAAGCAAAGGCAAAGGCAAAGGCAGGAGGATAGGCTCTGCCGCAGGCCATATATCATTCACAGTGTCTGGCTCTCTTAACAACATGCAACAGCTCGGAAAACGGCAACACAGCAATTAAAGCCAATGAATTGACAAGAAACCGCCGGCCGGGGCACAAAATCTGCCAAACAATTGTTATCTTCCAGAGACAATTGCCGCCTTTGTCTTTTTGCAAATTCAGGGTGAGGCCGCCAGCGAAATGTTGGCCAAATTGTGGTGTACTTTTCTGCCATGATTTGCAATTACTTTTCAGATAGTTTAAAATAAAATTCGCATATTTAAGAAGGGGAATGAATGGAGTTGTTGCTATGACTGGTTACAAAAAATAGTGTATGATATCATTTCCAAAAGTTTCACATATCTATCTTTACATTAAACAAAAACTGAGATAAGTTTCGAAGAAACTACCTTACCAAATGGATTTTATTTGTAAGCAAAATTCTCTGCAACAAATCCAAGTTCGCAAAGTTGCCTTTAGGCCTCAAAACCATAAATAGCAATAAATTAATGTATTTCCGCTGCTACAAAAAGTTTCTCTTCCTCGATATTTAATTCCATCATCTCGGCTTGAAGGTAAGCTGCAAAGAAAAGACACCGAAATAAGATATAAATTATAAATTGTGCACAAATTGCAATTAGGGTCAAGTTTGAGTTGTCAGCTGCTGCTTGACCTGCTTAGAGTGGAAGTCCCCTCATCTCGGCTCCCAATTAAGTTAAAAAAAAACGGAAACATATTAATTTCGAGCAATTGAACCACGAAATTAACAAGCGAGATGATGACGATGCTGTAAGATTAAGTTTTGCAGCGCCAGCAAATGATTCTCGGCTCTGCAACTTCCAATTCCACACAAAATCTGCAACTGAGTTGCCAACTCCCATAAATTTTGCGGTTGGCTTGGGCCTTGGCCATAACGGTACACATATGGGTAGTATATAGTATGAGAGTGCAACATGCTGCGATTTTGCCGGGCTTGCTGTTTTGGATTTCGGTCTCTTATTTTTGCCAACTCAATGTTTGTGAATGAAATATTTGAATCGGCAGTGGCAAAAGGTTATAAATTTGTAAGGGTCTGCAGCTGATGTTTTCGGGCTAAATGCGGTAAATCTTGGGTCACGATAATGGATTTTAAATTTTACGGTTATTATAATTTAAAGCTTGAGCTTTAAGGAATTTTTAAAAATGTTTACAATCCAATAAAATTGGTTATGGTGTAATATGCTGTTCACTTACATAAATCTTATATTGTTATTATTATAAAATTTATTTTAATAAATCGCAGTAGCTAAAAGAAAATAAATTCGAATTAAATTTTAAGGCGATCTCATATGTTAATCAAATTCAGCTGCAGAATTTCGAGTTATAATCAAGCCATAATCTATCTAAAGGGTAAACTTCTTGCATAATTTCCATGGAAATGATAGACCAAACAAAAATTCATTTTCTACTATCGCTTACACTTCTTCGATGCTCGTTTTGCTCACTTTCGCTGGCAAGAAAAACGAGCAAAACAAACCAAATAAATAAGACGGCAATAAAAGCGATAAAATAAAAACAATAAATGTGGAAAGCACAGAAACGCTTAGGGGGCCAAGTACTGGACCTCGAATCCCACAACCCCTCTCCCCCGCAACCCGCCCACCCCCAACTCGACCACGCCCCCGCAGCGTTTTGGAGATTTAATCAAAATGCGCATAAATTTGTGGCCTGCACTGTGGTGTTTGTGTGCGGTTTCTGGCAAGTGAGACGTCCGTGGCGCCCACTGTCCATGTGGGTGGTCCACGGCGGAAAATTGGAGAAAAGAGCATT